GCTGGGTTGCCAAACCCATTGCAGTGAAATCAACATCTGCTGACACCTGATTGATTTCTTTTTGTTTTGTTTCGTTTTTGCCTTTTGGGTCACACCCAGCAATGCTCAGGGGTCACTCCTAGCTCTGCACTCAGGAACCATTCCTGGTGGTGCTCGGGGGACCAATTGGGACGCCGGGGATCGAACCCCAGTCAGCCATGTGCAAGACAAACACCCTACCCACTGTGCTATCGCTCCGGCCCCACCTGATTGATTTCTTTGAGATCATTTTCCAAAGTTTTTCCAAACTTAATATTTCAGTAGCCCCTGGGTAGTGCTTTGTGGCACATTGATTTATTTGAGGTTATTTTCCAAAATTTTTCCAAATTTGACTAAATATTTCAGCAGCCCCCTGGCAGTGGCACCCAAGGTGCCCTAACCAGCAGTGCTGTCACAAACCAGTGCAGACACACCTGTGTGTACAGAGTTGGCTGTCAGTCCTGTCCACAGTCTGACCTGAGGCTCCTGTCACCTGAACTCCTTCACTGACTGCTGCCCTCTGCCCCTCTGCCTTCTCCCGAGTAACTAGCTTCCTCAGCTCCCAAGACAGCTCCCAAGCTTCCTCAACTCCTCAGCTCCTGGTTACACAAGTAACCAGGGAGGGCCTGGTTACTTGATATTCAGGATGATCTTGAGAAGGGCTGGCTGTGGGTGGCCTTGGCCACAGGAGGCCAGGTGAGGGCTTAGCTGGGTAATCTTTCGTGCAGATGGTGCTGCTGCCCCGGGCTACTGTTCATCATCTGAAAAAAAAGCACAGCCTGTGACTCAACCCATAGCAGCCACATAGTTAATGGACACAGTTTGCCATAGTGCTGAAGAACAGATCCCCGGGATTCAGAACATCATGTAAAATATCATTCTTTGCTAGAAAAGGAATGACAGACTGAATTGTTTTCCATTACCGTAGAACACCCCCATGCCAGAGAAAGTCTAATGCATTGCAGTATATTTTGGTGGGGTTTGTTTTGTGTGTGTGTGTGTGTGTGTGTGTGTGTGTGTGTGTGTGTGTGTGTTTGTGGTGCTGGGAATCAACCCTAAGCTCTCGTACCTGCGAGGAAACTGCTCTCCTACCAAGCCTTACCCCCTTACCCCAGGAATTGTACCTTGAGCTGCCTTGCTGAAATCTCAGATAAGAAAGTATAAGAAATACCCATGGGACAAAAACTAAAAAATAGGGGCTGGAGCAATAGCACAGCAGGTAGGGCGTTTGCCTTGCATGCCGCCAACCCAGGTTTGATTCCCAGCATCCCATATGGTTCCCTGAGCACCGCCAGGGGTAATTCCTGAGTGCAGAGCCAGGAGTAACCCCTGTGCATCGCCGGGTGTAGCCCAAAAAGCAAAAAAAGAAAAAAAAGAATAAAAGACCAAAAAGACACACAAAAAAAAGAATAAAGGAAACCAAAAGTAAGCTCCTACCGAAAGGATAGCTTAATGGGCCAGAGTGTATGCCCTCCCCACCCGCCTTTCTTCCTATCAGTATGTGATTTCCTCTTGGGCTCATCCCATGCCAGACATTCAGATTCACATCTCTCAGAGACTCCCTGGCTGAGAAATAAGATCTCTGACAGAAGCAAACATGTAGGTCCCCTAGAAAAAAAACATCAGTATCAAAAATGCTGCTCATCAGGGCCGGAGAGATACAACAGTGCTTAGGGCACTTGCCTTGCATGTAGCTGACAAGGGTTCAGTCCCCGGCACCATAGCTGGACCCCTGCACACAGTGCAACTGTCCACAAAACCCTCCAACCAGCCAAAGAAATGAGCAGTAGGACAAGAGTAGGCAGAAACAGTGACCTGAGTTTAGATCCCTGGGGCTTCAGCTACTTCAGGGCAGAAAAAATCATTATGAAACCTCCAAGGATGGTATGTGGAAGAGGGTGTGAGCAAAAAGACTAAAAATAACTGGCAGGATTCTAGAAATGACGGTCCTTGAAGTACTTGGTGAACTATTGAAACAGTGACTCGGATAACTGTTGAGGACAGGTGAAGAATTACCATATGGTTCTGTCATTGAACAGAAGATGGGAACTCAAAGGGGGTTACTCAGGAAGGGGGGTGTGGAGAGGGGACTTTTAAATTTCCACAAGTCTGGTGTGTGTCAAGGAGCTCCTGGCCCTCAATCTCCGGGGAATCCGTTGATCTGCATGATGCTGGTCTCAGAGCACGCAGACATGCATCTTGCCTCTCTGTGCCTGTTTCTGATGTGCTTCAGGGCAAGAGGTTGGTCGTATTCACTCTTAAGCCACCCTTCCCCAGAGAATCCAGAAGCCAGTTTATCTCTGAGAGGATTCATTGTCAAGTGTTGGGTGCCCTCTTGTGGAAAAAACTAGACCCACGTTCTCTGCCACCTCATCCAGTAAGCCAGATTCCAGGGGTGCACACCCCACACACCCCCAGAACTCTTACCACCGCCTTTTTTTTTGGTGGGGGGAGGAAACACATCCAGCAGTGCTCAGGGTTTACTCCGTCCTGTTGCTGCAATCTGGTATCATTCCTGGTGGGCTCGGGGGAGCTAATGGGATGCCATCATTCATACAAAGAGCCTTGCCCTACTTCTGGTACTGTCTCTGGCCCAATTACTACCCACTTTGCACTTAATTTTATGCCTGGCATCTAAACCAGGGCCTCGTGCATACAACGCTCTCCCAACACACCAGCTGGGCCTTCTTTTCTGCCTCATGAGTTCAGCTAAGGTTCTCTGGGTACTTCTTAGGAGTACCAATTTAGGTTCCCCAAATTGTCACGACTTGGCCCCACCATCTTCTGAGTGCTGAAGCCTGGGACCTGCCTCACAGCCACCCACAGTGCTCTGTGCACACACAGCTCTCCCTTGTTGCCACATCTGCCATCTTTGGAGCCCCAGGACGTGGCATGGCACCTTTTTAGGAGAGCCGTGCTGGCAGTTACTGAGGATACAGAGCTCTGGGCAGCCCAGTCCCACTGACTAGTAACATCTGGGGTCAGGAACTGGTCCCCCGTGTGGCCCAGAGCCCCAGCCTGCTGACTCATCTCTTTCCCTGTAAGTGGGGTGCTCATGGTGTCTTTCAGTCTGAGGAGACTGTGCTAAGAGGACTTGGGGGGGCTCATAGCAACCCCAAGTCGGTAGTGCCCCTGGCACCTGGCCTGGCACTGGGCCAGCCCCAGAGGCAGGTTGGAATGTGTGTGCAGGTGAGTTACAGGTGGGAGGAAGTGGCCGGCGGTGAGCAGGTGCAGGGAGTGGCTGGAACAGCAGAGCGGCAGGTGGCGGAGGAGTGGGGAGTCCCCCTGCCCTCCCCAGCCTCAGGGCTGCCTACATTTCCCTGCGTGCTGTCCTGCCACAAAGCAGGTGCCAAGTGATGATTGAAAGAGCTGAAAAACCACCAAGAAGTCACGGAAAGATGACCCAGCCCTGACAACTACTTCAGGGCTGTGGAGGTGGCCATGTGGCAAAGAGGGAAAGACAAGGATGAGGGGCCGGAGAGGGCTGAGTGAGGGGAAGCAGGTCAGCTCAGCTTCGGGGATGGGACATGAGGCCTCGAAGGCCACCTTGATCCTGATGCTGCAGGAGATGGGGTAACACAGAAGGGTCTTGGCCAGAGGGGTGCCATCCCCGCAGTATCTAGGGAGGAGGCTGGGGAGGTGGCATGCAGGCAGGAAGCCCAGTAAAGGCTGCCACCATCTCCCAGGCCAGAGATGACGGTGCCTGGTGGCCAAGACCTGGGGACTCTGAGGAGGGCAAGGCAGAGAGGATGGGGAGCTGGAACTGTAACTGGAGATCTGGGAACTCTCTCGCCCTAAACCCAGAGGTGGGAAGTTCATGCTCTGTGGCTGCACTCCAGCCACCTGTCTGCAGCGGCCCCACAGCCAGCGCCAGTGCTCTGCTCTCCGCCCCTTGGGGCTCCCTGTCCCCTCCACACTGCCCCTGCTCCTCCTGACCTGGCCTCCCCTGTCACCTGCAGCCACTCACAGGCCCCTCCAGGTCGTGCCTCCCTGCAGTAACCTGCCCTGAAGGTGCTGTCACTTTAAGGGCATCAGCTGAGGCACTGCCAGGCCATTTCCTCTGCCGTTACAGTCCTTTGCAGGAGGAAACAGAGAGCAACGCTTTCCTCCAGGCCAGGGACCACAGCCACACCTGGCCTAGTGTGCAGCTTTCACTCAGGCACTCCAGCGCCTCTGAGAAAGGCCTGGAGTTCTGGAAGTGGGGTTTCTGGAGTGTGAGGCCCCTGACTGAGGAAGCCAGGCAGAGAGCTGTGTGACCTGAGGGGAGGTTCCCAAGCTGAGGAGCGGCTGAGGAGCTCCCCCAAGCCTGGTCTGTGACCAGAGAGAGGACACAACACTCGAGGTGACCACTACCTTTATTGTCTCTGGGTAAGGAGGTATTTGGGGGGGCAGCAGGTGACTCTGGGCCCAAATTATTGCTACTTGGCATGGTCACCTTGAGGCGTCCCCACAGTGCCCTGAGTATGGGTGGGCATGGACATGCAAATATTATGCAAATTACATGCAAACCAACCCAGGATCCACCAGTGCTCTTGGTTGCATCCTGGGTGCTCTGAGTGTGTGAAGCCTGCAGGCCTGGGAGGGCCGGGAGACACAATCCTCACCCCTCACAGCTGACAGACCCGGCCCAGCCTCCAGGCTTGAGGTTGCGGGAGGGGGCGTCCCTGAGCATCAGCCCTCATCTGCTGTTGACTGAAGAGCAGAAGCCTGGTCTCGAGACAGCAGAAGGGGTGCGGGGCACTCATCCAGATGGGAAAGGGTCCTGCCATGGTCACGCAGCAGGCCAAGGACATCAGGATCCAGGCCTCTGGAACCAGGCAGAGGCCAGAGGGCTCAGAGGCCAAAGACACACACACAGACACACAGACACACACACACAAACAGGAAAATCAAACAACACAGATAAAGAAACGGACAGCAAGCAGTCCCACAGCCCCACTGACACTCCCCGCGGTGTCCGCCATGTCTCGGAGAGCCAGGCCCAGGGCTCAGAGGCAGCATCGCCCGTGGCCAGTGCCAAGGTGACCAGTCCAGAAGCTTCAGAGGAGGCAGGTGGGGCCCAGGGTCCTTGGCTTAGACAGGTCAGGCTCAGTTATTATTCATAATCCACCAGGAGGCTGGGGGTCAGAGGTTGGGGGTCAGAAATACTTAGATCTCCCCAGATCTCAAGCTGCCAGGGTTGGGGGCACAGCGCACCTGGGAAGAACACAGTGGTGAGGGTGTCCGGGGCCCGCAGGTGATCGATGAGGATGCGCTGGAAGGCTTTGCTGCAGGCCGACTGCTGGTGCCTGCAGGGTCAGGGAGCCAGCAACCATCCCGTGGCTCAGAGCTCCCCACTTTCCACCCACCCCACCCCCTGGGAAGCCGGGGCCATTAAAGGGGAAGCTGTAAGAGCACAGTGCTGGGTGGGGTGCCAGGGAGCAGGGGGCAGCTCCACTACAAGCATCTCCCACAGACCTGGCACTGGGAAAGGAGATGATGGGGGTGGGGAGCTGGAGCGATAGCATAGCAGGTAGGGCGTTTGCCTTGCACGCGGCCAAGCCAGGTTCGATTCCCAGCATCCCATATGGTCCCCCAAGCACTGCTAGGAGTAATTCCTGAGTGCAGAGCCAGGTGTGACCCAAAAATTCCCCCCACCAAAAAAAAAAAGGGCCCAGGGCTCAGAGGGCTTAGGCAACTCTTCTGAGGTGACAGCGACACCTGAGGGCACCTGACTCACTCAGTTTCCCAGGGCCCAAGTCACCCACCTTCTCCAGGAGGCCTCATCCTGCCAGAACTCGTACAGGGTGAAGGAGGCATTCTCCGACATCCTCTGGGCTGACACACTGCGGGGCCAAAGAGATGGCCAGGACGGGACGGGACCCCGCTGCCCACCCCCCCCACCAGCAGCAGCTGATGGACACCCTGGCCTGGGGTGCCCAGCTCTCCCCCCGCGATGCTGAGCCAGACGGGAGGACACTCACTGAAGGCAGCGACTCTGGGCGCCCGTGAAGTCCATGTAGCAGCTCAGAGCACGGTGGAAGTCCTGCAGGGCCGCCTCCGCCACCTGCACCTGCCTCTGGGCCACAAGAATGTGCTGGCGAGGGAGGAGGCTGGGTGGGCGCCGGCAGTGGAGCAAGAGGAGCCACCCGCCCTTTTCAACTTGCAGCCAAGAGGCGCCCCTTGCGATGGAGCCTGGGCACCTCTTCCCCCCGCCCCAAGGTGCTAGTCACTGCCCCTCTCCCACATTAGGGGCCCAGCACTCGCCCCCTGCCAGCTTCCAACTGCCAGGCCCAGAGCCTGCTAACTCACTGAATCAGGTCCCTTGGGGTGCTCCTCCTCGTGCAGGGGCTCCAGCCGGGGGGCCTGTGAGGACACAAGCATGGGCCTGAGAAGGCGCGTCCCAGGACGGCCCTGCGGGCGGCCTCCACCCACTCACCTTGCACTCCAGCTGGTCAATGAGCTCCTGGAGGCGGTTGATCTGGAGCCGCCACTGCATCTCGGCTTCTAAGCTCTGCCCTGCGGTTGGGATGGGGGTCGGAGGGAGGCATGGACCCCTCCAACCTCTTAGAATAAACGAGGCCCTCCCTGTGAACTCTGGGAGATGACCCAGGCCCTCCCCCAGGCCAGCCCACACCCCTGCACCCCCTAAAGTCACACCTGAGTCACAGGAGCCAGACCCACTAGGGGACCAACTGGCGCTCTGCAGGGCCCTACGCCCTGCCCTCCGGCTGCCACGGGGCCTGCTCTGCCACGCCACCGTCTCTTCCTCAGACCTAAGGGAAGCGAGGGTCAGCACCTGCCTCCACCCCAGGCCCAGGTCAGGCCTCCAGGGCCGGCACACGGAGGTCCGGCAGCCCCCAATCCAGCCACTCTTTCTCCATCCTCCTCCCCACGCCCCCCAAGTCACAGAACAGGAGTATAGGTCCCTACCTGGGGGCCTGGGCCTGGGCCTCCAGGGTCTCAGCTGCCCCCTCCAGCGAGTTTTGCAGGGCCTGGAGCTGGCTCACTGTCTCCCGAAGAAGGAATCGCGTCACAAACTGGTCAACTTTGGAGGCTCGTTCATACTCCTGGGGAGCAGAGAACTGGGTCACCGGCTCTCACCCTCAAACATATCCTTTTTCAATTTGGCGATTTTCGGGCCCCATCCAGTGGTGCTCAGGGCTTACTCCTGACTGTATGCTCAGGGATCTTTCCTGGTGGGCTCAGGGGCCATATGGGATGCTGGAGATCAAACCCATATGCAAGGCAAACACCCTTCCCTCTGGACTGCCAGCCCACCCTTTCCCACCAGACATGTTTCTGTTACTTATTTTTATTATTTTTATTATTATTATTATTATTTTGCTTTTTGGGTCACACCCGGCAATGCACGGGGGTTGCTCCTGGTTCATGCCCTCAGGAATTTCTCCTGGCAGTGCTTGGGGAATCACATGGGATGCTGGGAATCGAACCCAGGTCGGCCGCGTGCAAGGCAAAACGCCCTACCCGCTGTGCTATCGCTCCAGCCCCAATGTTTCCATTATTCTTTTATGGCTTTTTTGTTGGTGGTGGTGGTCTGGTTTGAGGGCCACACCCGACTGTGCTCAGGGGTTACTCCTGGCTCTATGCTCAGAAATTACTCCTGGTGGTGCAAGGATGCCAGGGATCAGACCCGGGGCAGCTGCCTGCAAGGCAAATAAGTGTCTTACCCACCTACCTCTGACCTCCATCCCCCCAGACATGTTTCTGAATAGGCAGTTGCTCAGCTGCTGCAAATCCCCTGGGGCATGCTCACGGGAGGGGGGGCGGGGAGCAGGTGCCAGCCCCTCCCTGTGTGGGCCCCACCCCCTTCAGGGAAGCTAGAGGATTCACTGGGAGGATTGGGAAAGGGGGCCTGCGAAGGGGGTGCAGGTCTCAGGGCATGGAAAGGCCAGTTTTGACACCAGGCAAGCAAAGGTGTGTGGGTGCTGTATCTCCAGCTGACCACAGACTGTGTTTGCATCCCTTCATTCATTCATCTGTGCTGCCAACAGGATCTGAGCCCCTTGTGCTAGTGGATGCAAACACAGGAGAGCCAGCCACTGTCCCTGCACCCAGCCATTCCATGCAGCCCCTCAAGGTGGGAAAAGCCAGGGAGCTGGCGATGTTCCAAGCCCTGAGCTTCTTGGGATACTTAGAGGCTCCCCAAGTAACTCCTTTCCCTTCCCTGTGCCTCAGTTTCTTCATCATATGCGGGGCCCTGGGTTTGACTGTCACAGAGGGCTGGGGCAACAGCTCAAAGGGCTGGAGCCCGTGCGCTGCACGCTTTGCAAAACTGGCTTTCACCCCAGTACCTCCAGCCCCCAAAAGCACTGCTGAAAGTGATCCCCACTCCAAAGGTCAAGCCACAATTAACCTTCAAGGACTCCCGGAGTGTGGTCCAAAATCAAACCAAACTAAGTAAGTCATAATTTGAAAAATGGGGATAGAAATAGTTGTTTCACGGAGCTGCTTAGAGGTGCCAGTGAAAAATGTCTAAATATTATATTATCAAGTAGAATACTGACAGACCTGCGCCTTTGTTCGTCCAGAAGACAGATCCCCTGAGATTCTCCTTGTTCTCTCCCATCCCCGTTGCACAACCCCCACCCCTGCCCAGTCCAGGATGGGAGTCCAGGGGCTTGAGCCGCCTCGCGAGGCCCTAAAGAGCTGGGACCACTGAGCTCAGTCATCAGGCCCTCCTGCAGGCTGAGCTGGGCATAGGTATTGAGGTGAGGTGGGGTCCTTGCTGTCTCCAGCCAGCCCAGCACACTTCCTGTTTCTTGACCTTCTCCCAGTCTTGTTAACCTTCCTGTGGTCCCATGGTTCAGCCGGCTGGTCCCCTAGTCTCATGCCATGTCCCGCCCCTCCCCCCATTATAGTGATTTTCTTTTTTGGGGGGGTCACACCCGGCAATACACAGGGGTTACACCTGACTGCACTCAGAAATCACTCCTGGTGATGCTCAGGGGACCATATGGGATGCTGGGAATTGAACCTGGCTCAGCCGCCTGTGAGGCAAATGCCCTACTCGCTGTGCTATCACTCTAGCTCCCAGTGTGATTTTAATGTGTGGCCCCTTAGAATATCCCAATGACCCAAGGCAAGCCACTTGCCTCCTAGTTGGGAAATGCCCCTGACATGCTGTTGCCAAATCCTTTTAAGAGCTTAAGAATGACCAGGGGCCGGAGCTCGAGGGTATGTGTGCACTTGTCTTGCACACAGCAGATCCTAGTTTCATTCTTGCCAATCCATATGCTTCTCCAAACCCTGCCAGGAGTGATTTTTGAGCACAAAACCAAGAGTAAACCCTGAGCCAAACCGGGTGTGCCCTCCCCCATCAAGTCAAGATTGACTGGTTGCTTTTGACTTTTAGTCAAAGAAACCAGCCAACACAAGCACCCATTCAGTACTGGGCCCACAGAGAATTTCATTTCATCCTTAGAGCCATTCATAAGAACCATAATTGATCCTTTCCTTGTTTGTTTTTTGCTTTAGGTCACACCCAGTGGTGCTGAGGGGCTTTTCCTGGCTCTGCACTCAGGGATCACTGCTGCTGGGGATTAGGGGACCAGATGGGATGCCGGGGATCAAACCCAAGCTAACTGCATGCAAGACAGATGCCCTACCCACTGTAGTATTTCCCTCAATTGGCCCCATTTCCAAATTTGTTTTAATAAGACCAGAGAGAGCTCAAGGGCTATTCCCAGGACATTGCTCAGGGTTTGCCCCTGGTGGTACTCAGGAAATCACACTCAGACCTGCTGCATGCAAAGCACATGCTCATCCCATGAACCACCTCCCAGACTCTACTGACACCACTTGGCAGATGAAAAGACAGAGGCTTGAAGGCTACTGATCGCTTCGGCCAAGGCCATCCACTGAGTTGGTGTTCAAGCCAGAATTCAAACCCAGGGCACAGAAATTCCTCTCCATTCACCCCTAAGCACCTTACTAACATGGCCTCACATATGATCTACAAGCCCATTTCAACGACTGAGGTGACCCTAGGTCAGAGGTCACAGAGGTGACAATCCAGGTCAACCTGGGGTTCTGGGAGGGGTGGAGCCTGGAGATAGGTGAGGTCCTACGTGAGATCACAAAGGGGCCCTTAAAGGCTGGCGGGCAAGGCAACAGCAGTCTGGGTACGGGGTGACCAGCCCTGCCACAGGAAACAGCAGTTCCTGTAGAGGACCAGGATGCCCAGGCAGCCCGAAGGGGAAAGTCGACCCCTCATGGACAAGGCCCGGAGGAAACAGTCCAGCCACAGGCGGGTGGGTGCCAGGGGCCAACAGGCAGGCAAAGGCCAGGGAAACCCAGACAAGACAGCAGATGGGCACTGGGGGGGGGGGGGGGGGGTGAGGGACAGGCTAGTGGGTACCACTAGAGCTAAGGGTACAGGGAGATTCCCATGTTTCCCTTCCTAGCTCCAGACAATCCTTTTCCAAACTCTTGTCATCAGAGGCCTTGGGCAGGGCCAGGGTGGGTGAGGGTCCTAGCAAGGCCCGGAACCCCTAAAGGCGAATGGAGCAAGTTCTCAGACTGGCAGCCTTCGGGCTGGGGTGGGGTGAAGTGGGGGGAATGGTGTTGCCAGTAGGGCTGAGGGCGAAAGGTCCGAGGTAGGGACCCCACGGGCAAGGGAGGGCAGCGGGAGTGCAGGAAACGTAGAAGCGGCAGCGCCCTGGGCGAGGGTCTCCGAGGGACGGCGGCGCACTGGCCCCCACACCCGCCCCGGCCGCCCTCCTCTCGCCCGCAGATCAAGATTGTGGTCTTCTCCCGGGCCCGGCGACAGCAGGCGGCGGCCGGGCCTAGCACGCAGCCCGGGAGACCCGGGGCGGGCGCGGAGGGCTCCCCCGAGGGCTACCGCGCGGCGGCGCCCGTGCAGCACGGAGCCGGCGATGCGGGCCAGCGACGCGAGAGCGCCCACGCGCGCAAGATGAAGATGTTCCTGATCTGGCTGCTGCTGCTGGACGCGCGGAGGCACGGGCAGGGGCGCGACGGGGAGGGCGGGCCCGGCGCGGGGGGCGGAGCCGATGCCCAGCCGGCCCCAGAAGGCTCCCGCTGACCCGCACGAGCCCCAGGCCCGCCAGCGGTGTCTGGCCAATAAAGAGGATAAATTGCGCACAGCAACCCGGCCGCCGGCTCGGTCTTTCCGCAGCGGGGAAGCCAGGGTAAAGGGAAACTGAGGCCCGGTGCCTCGACTGTTTTCACTGCCTTCTTTGTGAATGCGGACCTGGGGAAGAGGGGCTGCTTTCAGGCATACACACCTGTCCCGCCCCGGGCCTGCCAGCTCCCAGGACCAAGAACTGTGAGCCTGGGCAAACCCAGGCGTGACCACCATCAAAAGGGGGCCTACTTCGGGCAGAGCCCTGGCATCTCTTGAGCCCTCAGCACCCAGTCACTGACCATGCTGCCACCCATGGTCACCAGTCAGCGCCCCCGCCCCCCCCCCCCATCACCTATTCTCTGTGGGAAGGACCCACTGCTGCTCCCTCCACCGTGGGGCCCAAACCAACTTCAGACTCTCCAGCCGGCTGGGGCTCGGAGCCTGTAGCCTGCCTTCCGCACGCTGACCTATCTATCTCAGGAGGCTCCTGGGTCTTGCTCTCCACTCACTGACCTGAAGAAGCACCTTAATCCCACAAACAACGCCCCTTCTGCATTGCTAGAGAGCATCTCCCCAGAGCACTGACACCCCCACCCCCGCCCCCGCCTCCCTCGGACTGTGGGGAAGATTTGCTGTTCCCCCAGCATCTACCTGATCAGGCGAGCCACGTTCCTCCTGAGGCCAAGCTGTCTGACCAAACTCAAGCGGCCCCAGCTGGTCCTCCCAGCCTTTCTGGGTACAGAAACAGGACATAGACTTTTCCTCATAAAAACACACAGGCTGGGGCTAAAGAGACAGCACAGAGGGTAGGGCATTTGCCTTGCACGCGGCCGACCCGGGTTCAATTCCCAGCACCCAATATGATCCCCTGAGCACCGCCAGGAGTAACTCCTGAGTGCAGAACCAGGAGTAACCCCTGTGCATTGCCAGGTGTGACCCAAAAAGAAAAAAAAAACAGGCTGGAGAGGCGACTCTTCAGAAGGATGAGAGCCATGCAGTGGCCACCCTGGGGACCCCTGAGCCTGCAGTCAGCCCTGCTTCCAGTCTGCTCCCGCCCCCACGCCCAACCCAGTTCCCATTGCCCTTCACAAGGTCCATGGAACCAGTTCCTCACTCGGGAAGGAGCCTTCTCTAGAAATCAACATGATCTTAAAATCTCTGCAGAGACAAGAGGCTGCTTCCCTCCATGCCAGGATTACTAGTACCTTTGGGGGAGAAAACCTACCCCCAGAGCTCTCTGAGAGATTTGGACTCGCTCGGGGCTGCAATTGGGTGAGCCCCTGAAAGTGGTCACAGATTGCCCCAGCTGATGCGGCCAGAAAAAGAGGAAGAGATGAACATCCCTAAAGGAGCCCAAAGATGAGACCATATCCCTTTGACATGCAAATCCTGAGCTCTCAGGAAAGAAAAACCAGGCCGCACCCAGATGCAGAAATCTAAGGCCCTACCCAGAGACCTCTTTGTGGGCTAGCGGCAGCCCACAGGACTGGCCAGAATACCTACAGGTATGTCAAGTGGGATGGGGGAGGAATCAGCACTGGTTACTCTGAGAGGTTGTGTTTGTGAGTGTGACACACACATGGGGAGGTGGGAGGGGCTGGGCTGGGGCAGTGCAGCGAGTGCAGAGAACTGAGGTCACAATGAACTCAGCGGAAGTTCTTTTCCTTCCTTCTCCCCTCCCGCCCCTGGCACCTTCACAACCAGGAACTACCTCCACGGCTTCTGCGAAGCTCAGGTGAGAGTTGCCCAGACATGGCCAGGGGCTCAAAGGTTGGGCTGAACTCCTGGGCCCCCAGACGGAACCGCTTACGTTCCCGTTGAATGCCACCCCACGTGCCTTCCCTTCCAGAGATCTGCGGCTCCCGCCCGCCCGGCGGCTTCTCAACACCAAGGACTTGACCCAGCCGGGTTCCCCGCCTCCCAGCGCGCCAAGGCTGCAAGCCGCGGGACAGCAGCGGGAGCCGCGCCAGTCCCGGAGACCCAGCCCTGGCCCAGAAGGCGGGGTCTCGGGCCTGGGGGCGGAGGCCAGCAGGGAAAAGCACGCCCCCCACTCCGGTGGGGAGATAGAGGCGTCCCGGCCCGAGGACAGTCTGGAGCCGAGCTGTGGTCCTCTGGCCCGGGAGAGCAGCGACCTCGCCGCAGCGGGAACGCGCGGGGCGCGGGGAGCCGGGGCGAGGCGCAGCCCGAAGCTGGCGTCTGTGCGGGTGCCCCGCCGGGCCCGCCGGCTGCCCTCCCTGGGTCGCGTGGCCGTGGTGGTGGACCAAGGCTCGGGCTTCGTGAAGGCAGGCTTCGCCGGGGAGGCCCAGCCGCGCCTGGTGCTCAAGAGCTCCAGCCTGGTGCCCCGCGAGGACCGGCCCGCGCTGTCAGGCCCGGAGGGCTGCGCGCTGGCGGATGGCACGGTGCGGGCGCACCCCATTAAGCACGGCGTGGTGGTCAACTGGGAGGCGCTGGAGGGCCTGTGGGAGCGCCTGCTGCTGGGAGGCCTGCGGGTGCTGCCCGAGCAGTGGCCCGTGCTGGTGAGCAACTCCCCGACGGCGCCACCCTCGGGCCGCGAGCGGGTGGCCGAGCTGCTGTTCGAGGCCCTGGCAGTGCCCGCGTGTCACATGGCCAGCACCGCCCTGCTGGCGCTCTGCTCCACCGGCGTGCTCTCAGGGCTGGCCGTGGAGGCGGGCGCCGGCGTGTGCCACGCCACCCCCGTCTATGCGGGCCACTCCTGGCTGGAGGCCACCTTCAGGATGAACGTGGCCGGCAGCGCCCTGTCGCGCTACTTGCGCGACCTGCTGGTGACCGCGAGTCCCAATCTGCCGTGGCAGGGCTTGTCCCGCAAGGCCATCACCAAGCTCAAGAAGCACTGCTGCTATGTCTCACAGGACTTTGAACGTGACCTCCGGGACCCTGACCGCCAACACCCGGCCAGTTTCTGCTTAGCCAACGGGTACCCAGTCTGCCTTAGCAGAGAACGCTTCTGCTGCCCGGAACCCATCTTCCAGCCAGGTTTGCTGGGCCAGTCTGAGCCAGGATTGCCCACGCTGGCCTTTCAGGCCCTGCAGAAGGTGCCCACCACGCTGCGGGGGCGGCTGGCCAACACCGTGGTGCTGGCCGGGGGCTCCACACTCTTCCCTGGCTTCACTGAGCGCCTGCATAAAGAGCTGGAGGCCCAATTCCAGCAGCACGGTGACCAGGCACTGCAGCCATGCCTGGTGGCCCACCCTGGGCGAGGCACCGCTGTATGGACAGGCGGCTCCATGATGGCCTCGTTGCACTCCTTCCAATGCCACTGGATGACTCGGGCTATGTACCAGGAGTGCGGCTCCAGGCTGGTGCACGAAGTGTTCAACTGAGCACAGACTGGCAAAGTGTGGGATGGCAGGGCAGGGGGCCCCAGGAGGGCAGCAGCAGCCCAGCTGCAGCTCTATCAGGCCAGGAGTGTGGATAAAAGTCTCAAGTGACTGCAGTTGGCATCAGTATGTGGTCAAGATGGTCACCCCATCGCCCTTTCTGGGACCAAACGGTAGTTGGGACCCCCACTTTGTCCTACGTTTTAATGACCCCCTCACTAGTGCCAGCTTGAAAAATGCCACTTTAGCTGCCCACCCAGGACCCTGTTTCCATGGCAACAAGACAGGTACTGCCCCTCACTTGAAACCAGGCCACATGTGTAGAAATCCTTGTTACACACCAGCCCCACATCCTGCACCAACTGGACACACTTTCTGGCCAGGCCCAAAGGACCACCCCTTCCTGGGGACAAAGCCATAGTACAGCATTTGCCTTGCATGTGGCCTACCCAGGTTTGATTCTCTGGCACCACATGTGGTGCCCCAAGCTTGTCAGGAGTGATCCCTGAGCACTGTCAGGTCCCCCCAACCCCCCAAAGTCAACCCTATCCCAAGCTCCTCTATTCCACATGAAAACCAACGAAAGGGGAAGGAAGCGTCCATTCCTCAGCTGTGTGCTGTGGTGCTCACTGACAAACCTAGGACCTCAGTTTCCCCTTTCCAAAGGCCTCAGGCAGTGTTCCCTCCCACTCCTTATTAAGAGCAATGGGATAGGGCTAGGGCTAGAGCTCTGGGACAGACAAGCTCAGCCTGTGAGAGGCCCTGAGGTAGATGCCGGCAATGCAATCAGGCAAGTGCTCTGCCACTGTGGGGTTTCTGAAGTCTCCACCCAAAGGCCCCTGTGAGCGCACAGATGTGGGAGCGCCTGGGCCTGTCCTCTGCCTGCCCCGAAGCTGTACCCTCTAGCACAGGTGGGAGCACACGGGTCCCCAGGCCGCCCCAACTGGCTGCTGGCCTTGGTACTCCACAAACAAATCTGGCCAATGACAGCGACATCAGGAGCAGCTTCCTGGATTAAGCACTTACTGTGTGCCAGGCAGTCTGGATGCTAAGGACAGTGAAAAAAAAAAAAAAAGAAAAAAGACAAAACCCCCTACCTTTGTGCTTATTTAATGGACACAACAAATGGATGCAAGTAGGTGCTCTTGTTATCCCCCGTTTACAGAAAAGGAAACTGAGGCCCAGGTCAAGATAAAAGGCGAGAAAGTAGGAGGGCCAAGATCTGAACTCAACCTTGAGCTGCACAGTCTCAGCTGCGACTGGGTGCAGGCCAGATCCCCCCTACCCACTCTGCGCACCCCTTGCCCTCACCCCTCCACTCACCAGCTTGGTGGCATCCATGGCCGTGAGCACAGCGCCATTCAGTGACTCCAGGGCGGCCAGCACAGGCCGGTAGACCCCCAGGTGTTCTGAGAAGTAGTCTACGGCAGAGGGGGTGCAAGGGTTCCCCGACGCTTCCCCACCACGGCCCCCCAATTTTCCAGCAACCAATTAGACCTCAGACCCTGAGGCCACCCCACCCTATCCCTCAGAACTCACCCACCTTCCCAGGGCACCCAGGAGGGCTCTTCCTGCCCGCCTACTCACCACACAGTTTCTCTGTTTCCAAATTGCTAGAGGGAAGAAAGGGGTCTTTCAGCCCCGAGGCACCGGGACTGGCAGCCAATCTGCCCCGCCCCCCCTCTTCCCTCCCTGCTCAACCAGGGGCTGAGACAGCATCTCACTGTCCCATCACACCGTAGCCAAAGGCAAGAACTCAACCCTCTCCCGGCCTCCTCCGGGGGCATTTCAGGCAGGGGAAGATGACTGTGGCCACTCCTAGGGAGCAGGCAGAGCTGGGAAAGTCTGAAGAAGTCGAGGGAAGACCTAGGTATAGCCCGGTAGCCAAGGAGGGCTTCCTGGAAAGGGTTCCCTAAGCGAGGCCCTGAAGAGCAGGAATTCAGGGTGCCTAGTTCCAGAGTGGGGACAGTGGGAGTCTAGCCCAAGCATCAGCACAGAGGCAGACAAGGGGCCCTGGTGTCAGCTAGGAGCCGGACGCAAGGAGCACCGGGAGCCGAGAGGCAGCTGGAAGCCTCACACCCCCATGGAGAAGGTCTGGAAGCAAGCAAGAAACTCAAGCCCGGCCCCGCCGCTGGAGGGCCGCCTGAGGCAAGGCGCGTGCACGTGCGTGCGTGCACACCTGCACCCATGGGTGCAGGCGGGCAGGCCCAGCTGTCCCCAGGCTGCCTCTGGTCCCTGCAGGAAGTGGGAATGGGGAGGGGCCTGTGGGCTGAACCACGGCTGGTGACTCAGGCCTGGCTATTTCGGGGTCCCAGCTGGAAGCAGTGAGATGGGCAAGGCTGGAGACAGGAGCGGGAAGGTGGGCGGAATAAATTGGCACAGAGCCCAGGCCCCCTCCAGAAGGAAACCAAGGCAGCAGGGGACACAGCGGGCCGGGAGCGGCTCTCCAGCCCCCCACTCCTACTCACTCGGTGGGCTTCCCATCAATGCCACTGAACAGCTCCCGCAGCTCCCCGGGGCTGAGAACCCCGTCCGCAAAGTAATTCTGGAATTCCTCAAACGAGAGCTTCCCGTCATCTGGACAGGGGCAGGGTGGCAGTCAGTGTCTCTGACCCCTGTCCCCACCCCTGCCCCAGCCCTGGGCCTCAGAAGGCCTGGCAGCCTCTCACTGTCACCCACCCAGGTGAAACAGAGGTCTGAGCCTGGTGGGGGTCTGGCTGCAGGAACCAAAGACAGGGTCCGAGATGTGCCCGCAGAAGGCATTAGGGCTCAGCATGCGGCCTCCCCAGGAATGCAGCCCTGGGCAGGGACTCGGTAAGTGTGTGTCGGGTGGGGAAGCAAATGCACAGGCTGGCAACTAGCCAGGTCATGGCAGAGCCTTGGCGCCACTTGCAAGGGCTTGGCCGCCCCGTCTCTGCCCTCGTGCCAGCCCGCAGAGCCCTGGCAGGAGAGTAGCTGCAGGCGCGATCTGGCTGCTCCCAGAGAAGCCGCAGGGAGGCAGAGCTCTTCCGAAGGGTTGACAGCTCTTTATTGAGTGCCAGGCTGGCTCCTGAGGACTGACTTCCCCCTTCACAGGGGCATGTCACAGGCTGTGAACACTGGTCTGGCCATCAGGGGCAGATGAGGGAGAGCGAGAGACCAGGATGGGAGAAGGCAGAGGCGCCTCAGCCGGGACTTGGGATGCAAGAGGAACAGGGCATCTGGAGCAACAAGCTGGGTTTAGGCTCCCCCTCCAACCTGGAGAGACCAGGGGAAAGGCAAAAGGGTGGGCTCCCTCCTGCCAAAAAAGACTGAAACAAAAGATTTGGGGATGCAGGGGGAGGCCAGCCAAGGGGGCTGCTGCTCTGTGGGTTGTAATGTGCCCTTTTTTTTTTCCTTTTTGGGTCATACCCGGCAATACACAGGAGTTACTCCTGGCGGTGCTCAGGGGACCATGTGGGATGCTGAAAATCAAACCTGGGTTGGCCGCATGCAAGGCAAACGCCCTACCCGCCGTGCTATCTCTCCAGCCCCCCGTTTTCATTTTCAAGGGATTCCCAGACCCAGGTTGGAGAACTTGGGCCCAGCTTTATGCTGACCAAGCCTTTCCAGAGGGTCCATATGAACAAGCAGGTGGGAAGCTGCCGCATCTCCCAATAACCCTAAGAATCAGGGCCAGAGTGATAGTAAAGGATAGGGCACCTGTCTGCACTGCATAGGGTCCCCCAAGCTAGGGGGCAAACCCTGACACTGCTGGTGTCAGCCTATATTCCCCCATCCCCCACCACAAACCCATAAGGACATAATCCCCCAGTAGGGCAGCACCTTGCCCAATCTTCCCACGAGCCTCACACAGACCCTGGGCAACCAATCCTGGCAACCAGGTGGAACTGGGTTCAAGGCCCTCAGACAACCTGCTCTGCCTCCCTGGGCTCTGCTTCTTTGGTAGGTGGCGAGGGTGGTTCATGCCCAGGTCCTACTGCCTGGGCACAAGCCCTCACCTCCAGCCTCGTGAACCCACATTCCTGGGCCTCCACTGGGCCAACCTTGGCTCAAGACTCCTCCAGGAAAGATGCCCCAATGGAGTCTCATGACTCACGATTCTTCTCCACTCTGAAATGTGCCCCAAACCCTCCACCCGCCCCTGGGCTTCCGAGGATCAACCCCATCATTCCGTCCCCCATACTCACCGTTCTTGTCTGCTCTGCGGAAAACCTAGAGGACAAAGGGGCATGGGTGGGAGCTGTGAGTGGGGGGCGAGTCTCCCACCCAGCTCATGAAGAACCCCCACTGGCGTCCTGCCTCCAGTGGCCTTTCCTCCTCCCTGGCCCCACCCCCCTCCCAGCACAGGTCCGCAGGAGCCTTCCTGTGTGGGCAGCACAGGAAGGACACACAGCAGGCCTGGGGTTTGCTCTCCTCTCCTGCAGGGCCAGCTCCCAGCACCCCATCTCCCACACACCAGCCCTCCTGGCTGTGCCCTTGGCACAGTCCTATCTTGAACGTGGGGACAAAGCCAAGATGCAGTTTAAGGGTTTCAGGCACCCAGCCTGTACCTGAATCCTGAATCTACCATGAGGCCACAGCCCACATGCCCCACTCTTTCCCTGGGGGTTTTGAACACCCTGACTAGCCTCCTCTGGAGTTCTTGCTTTCGTGTTAACAGGAGGGGGAGCAGAATGAGTTAACCCTTCCAGGACCGGGGCTCCCTATGAGGATAAAAGTCCTGAGTAGGCATGTGCATGTGTGTGTGCGCGCATGAGTGTGCGTGTGTGTGTGTGTGTGTGTGTGTGTATGTACATATACAGAGGGGAGAGGATGGCGGAAAGCAAGGGTGGCCAGAGAGACGTGTTAATGAGACATAGCAATGAAGAATCACAGCGCAGAGGGCAGAAAGGGGCAGAGTCAAGCCAAGGTGTCCCCTCATGCAGGCGCCAGAGAACCCCCAGGTCCCCCAAAGCAGCAGAGAATGGGAGAACAGCAGGTCTAGCAAGGCAGTTGGGGGGAAAGTCCCAGTGAGACCCCCTGAAAGGCCCCCATCCTGGTGCCACTTCCCTGGAGTCAGACTAGGTGCGAGGGGTAGGGGGCAGAGTCTGACTCCAAGGTCTGCCCCAGCTCCGCTGTCCCGCGTGGGCTGCAGGCACAGATGAAGGCACTTGGGGTTCAGAAGGGACACTGGGCTGTGAGTGTCCTGGGGTCACACCCAGGGTCTCTGCCTATGGGTGATCTCAGAATCCCCTAACTCCGCCTCTCTGTTTCCAAGACAGAGAGCCGCAAGGTCCGGCGGCTTGCGGCCAGGACAGTGGGTAAGGTGCTGAGTCACTGGGGGCAGTGGGCAGGGGGCAGGAACCTGGGGATCAGGATGGGGTGAAAAATGCCGGGGAGGGGGGCAAGCTGTGGCGGGTGGCTGAAGGCTGGCTTGGACACCCCTGGGGACCCATGGAGGCTCTGGGATGCCCTGTGAGAGATGCCCAGACCACCCAGGGCCAACCTGCTCTGCCCAGCCCTGGAACCCCCAGCCCTGGATGGGGTGCGCAGACTGACTGCTTAGGCTCCAGCCTGGGTGCCGGAGGGGCAGGGCGCGCTCCTGCGATGGAGCACGGGACGAGAGCGCCCCCCTCCCCCCCAAGCTCCCCGGACACGACAGGGTTGGGCTGGGGTCCTGAATCTGAGACCCCGGCAGCGGGAGAGGGATGGGACCAGGGGATTCTCCCGTGTGGGGTGGGGAGACAGAGGATGCACGCACGGCGGGTGCACAGGTGCGGGGGAACCCAGCCGCCCTCCAGGCGCCCCCTACTCACGTCCTGGAAGAGCGCGTGTCCGGCGGCGCCCGCGGGTGCGGTGGGCGCGAGGGGCGCGGGGGGCGCACGGGGCGCGGGCGGCCGGAGCAGGCACACGGTGAGCAGCCCCGCACACGCCATGGCGCCGCCCGCTGCTGCTGCTGCTGCTGCCGCGGCCCCACGCTCCGGACGCTGCAGCGGGCTGGGGGGACGCGGAGGGCGTGGAGGGGCCCGCGGGCCCATTGGCGCCGGCGCGCCGGGGGCCCCGCCCGCAGCTCCGCCCACCTCCCGGGCGCCGCCGGCGGGGGGGTCCTAGGACCGCAACTTCGCCTCGGTGACTCCCGCTCCTCCCCTGCCTGGAAGCGGGGCGCCAGCCCCAGCCTCTCGGTGGGGCAAGGGGCGCCCGGGAAGGGGAAACCCCGCACCGCCCTCTGTGTCTGTGTCCGGCGGGGCGTGGAGGTGCAGAGCCCGGGCAGCCCCCGCACCCCACCCCGCAGCCGGGTGCACGCTGCATGTCCCCGCACATTCTGGGCTCCAGGGACCGGCACGGCTCCGTGACTCCAAAATGACCCGTACCTCTAAGTGGGTGGTCATGGGCAGGTATTGGGGGGATGCGGAAGACCCACCTGAGGATCTGTGAGGTCGGCCACCCGCCTCCCCTCCTTTTGGTCACTTGGGCCCCTCGTAAATCCAGCCTGAGTCTTGGCCGGTTTCAGTACCTTCAGTCTCCCGGCGCGACCCCCCAACCGAGCCTTCTTGCAATCCTCTGGGCCCTCCTTCCCCATTTGGTCGTCTGCTTTTTTTTTGTCGGGGTGGAGGGAGGGGTTACACCAGTGGTGCCCAGGGGTTCATAAGGATTGAACCTGCTTTGGCTGCCTGCAAGCGAGCACCTGGCCCTGCTTGGGGTGTGATCTTTGCCGACTCTAGCTAATGCCTGCAGTGCTCAGCTCTTGTCTCTTCCAGGAAGCTCTCCCAGGGTTCCTTGCTTGTGTCTCCTCAGTCAGATCCTGAGCGCCACACAAGGGAACACAAGTATCCCTAGAACTGTAAAGTGACAGAATTGGACCACCAGAATAACCTGGTGAACCTTTACAAATGCCCAGAAACATCTTCAAATAATGGAGCCACAGTACAGCAGGGAAGGCATCTGCCTTGCATGCAGCCGATCCCGGTTCGATTCCTGGCATCCTATATGGTCCCCCAGCACCAGCAGGAGTAATTCCTGAATGCAGAGTCAGGAAGAACCTGAGTATTGTCTGGTGTCACTCCCCCCCCCCCCCCCCAAATAACCAAAACAAAAATGGAGCCACTGAGTAACCTCAGGCTGGGGAAAATAAAGTTCACTTTTACAGTAAAAATCACTGCATAAGCCTTTTTTTGGTGTGTGGGGGGGAGGGATACTTGGGCCACACCCATAGCTAAGGGGCTGTACCTGCCTTTGCTGAGGAGTGACCCCCACCTGGGCCCAGGGGAATCATGCCGTGTTGATTGAGTCAGGGGTCAGGCACATGCAGGCAAGCACCTTACTCTGGTACTATCTATCCAGACCCCAGATACTGGTGTTTTTGGGGTTTTTTTTGGGGGGGGGGGGCTCAGGGCCACAGAGAGGTGTTCCTTAAGAGCTATTGCTGGCTTTTGTTCATGACCATCTCCTAGTGGTTAGGGGAATTTATCTGGTGCTAGTGATACAATCAGGACTTGATGGGATGCAAGACAAGCAACTTGAGCTCTGTATATATTGTATTATCTTCTTCAGCCCTGGATCAGACTTTACAACAACCCCACCCCAACCCCGCCCCAGGCTCAAGGTTCATTCTAGTCTCTGCCTGTATTCAGGACTCACTCTGACTGCAGAGATCAAACCCGGTCCTGGGGGTGGAAGCCAAGTCAGCGGTGTACAGCCCTACCCACTATACTGTCCCTCTGGCCCCAAGCTTTTGGCTTTGTGTGTAGGGATCATTCCTAGTGAACTTAGGGTCTATATACGGTGCTGGGGACCGAACCCAGGTCGGCCATGTCCATGTCTCTGATGCCTTACTCCCTGCAGTGTTGCTCTGGTCCCCCAAGTGTAGCTTTACTTTTTTTTGGGGGGGGGGGTTGGAGCCACACCCAGTGATGATCAGGGGACCATATGGGATGCCAAGGATTAAACCGAGGTCAGCCGCGTGCAAGAAAAACGCCCTACCCATGGTACTATAGCTCCATCCCCTCTTTCTTAAAACTGCTTCCAACAAAATGAAACCAAACGGGGCAGAGAAAGAGGAAGTAGACAAGGGGCATTTCCCACAGCAACCCCCAGATAGACTTTCTCCCAGCACACAGTCTCAAACCATCAAAATATTTATTTAAACCAAAGCAGGAGACAATAGAGCTGTAGGAAGACAAATCAAAGTGCAGATTGGAAGGCAGGGCAACAGCAAGAAGTGGAGTGGAGGGGATTTCTTTAAACACCGGAGGGGCCTAGGGTCTGGGGTCTGGGCTTGGAAGACCCTTCACCTGCCCCTTCTGCCCACACTTTCAGTGTTGGACCCCCATTCACCTCTCCTACCGCACATCCATCCAGGGGGCAGCTGGGGAGAGCTCCCTCCCCACCCCCCCACATTTGTCAGTCTGTTTCCCTCCTTCACTTTCTCAATAAATAAACCATTCAGGCCTCAGCTCCTTCAGTGAGGCGAGAGGACAGCTCAAGGGGCCCCTGCCTGGGGTATAAGGAACCGGGGTATCGGCCCCACATCCTTAGCCTCTGTTGGTGCCCCAGGCTTGCCAAAGAGGCAACGAAAGATAAATAAATAACGCTCCATTAAAGCTTCAATCAGAAAAAAACTTTAAGACGACCGAAGTGCTTTAGCACTGTCCTGCTGCTCAACAGGCCAGAGCCTCACCACCGAGCCTGGTCAGGAGGCAGGATGCTAGGACCAGGTGGCCACCCCGGGCCGCGTGGGGCCCCTGGAGCAAGGAACCAAAAGTGCAGTTAAGAGTCCCCACTGTGTGGATGTGGAGGCACGTGCACAGGCATGTGGCCACAACTGGGGCATGGTCTCCACGCGCGCACGGGTTCCCCTTCATTCCCCGGTCCATGCACACACATGCTCGCACACTCCTCACGCTGCAGAAACATGGTGGGCGGTGGGTACACACACGGCCCTCCCACCCCCCACAAGGACTCCTTCCTTTCTCGGCCCGCTCGGCTCCCTGGCAGCAGTCAGATTCCAGAGTGAAAAGCTTCCAGGGCTCGGGGACACGGGTATAAATTAAATGTCTCCAGTCCGGCGGGGAAGATGGCCAGGGCCAGGGGCTCCGGGACTGAGGAGACGGGATGGGCATCTCAGGAGACCTTGCTCCCCACCGCCCACCGGCCCGGTCAGAAATCCAGGGGAGTGAGGTCCCCAAAGTCACAGTCGAAGAGGTCTCTGATGCCCTCACCCTCCTCCAAGCCAAAGTGGTAGTCGAGGGCCTCGTGAGGCGGGGACAGGCTGATGAACTCCTCCGGGAGGAGGCCGGAGAAGTCCTCCCGCACGTGTTCCAGGAGCGAGTCGGCCGCCACCAGGGGAGACAGGCGGTCCTCGTCTGTGGGGGCCCGTAGGCCTCCCATCCGGGACAGCAGAGGTTCTGGGGAGATGGGGGAGCATCACAGGCCAGGGATGCCCGAACAGGGAGGACAAGGGGGCTGTTACTGTGACCCACCCACCGGGGAGAGAGGTGGTCAACCCACCTACCTACCCTTTACCCACCTTGTTCCAGGCTGAGCAGGGACTGGCTGGGGTCCGTGGTGGGAGAGGAGGAGGGCGAGGACGGTGGCACTGTGGTGACAGGGTCAGCGGCTCTATCCTCATCCTCCCCAGAGGAGGACTCCTGAGAGGGGGGCTTCTCTGGGCTTATGTCATCCACAGTCTCTTCGGGGCACAGGAAAACGTCGATGGGGCCTTGCTTGCTCTTAAGGGAGATCTGCAAGTTCTGGGCAGTGGAGGCAGGCAGGATAAACTGAGGCTCCGTCTAGCACCCACCCAGCCAGGTCAGGCCCAGAGGTGCGGGTCTCACCTCGGAGGAGTCCATCGCCTGGAGCTGCGTCTCGGGCGGGGCCTTGATCACCATGACCATCTGCTCCGCGGGGTCCGCAATGCTCCGCAGGTCTTGGCAGGTCACATAGGCCAGGGTTGGTGGAGTCAAGGACCATAGACTTCCTGCCTCCCAGGACTCCTCTTTTTTGTTGTTTTTTGTTTGCGGGGGGAGGGCTCCCTGCTATATCTTCACTATCCTCCACTGTTCTGCACAACTCCAGGGCTAGAGTGGAGAATCCAGTTTGACCCATAATCATGCTGCTAGCAATATGAAAAATTTATAAATGTAATTTGAGAACTCCTTAAATCTGCTTCCCCCAGCGCTGGAGACAGTACAGTGGGTAAGATGCTTGCTGGGTTCCATCCCCGGCATCCCTGCAGGTGCCCAGAGCACCACCAGGAGTAATTCCCAGTGCAGAACCAGGAGTAACCCCTGAGCATCGCTGGCTTCACTGGGTGTGGCCCCCAAACCAGTAACAAAGGAAAACATGCTCCCCACTTTTAGATTTTGGGGCCACACTCAAGAGTGCTTGGGGGCTAACCCCAGCTGAGCTTGGGCATTTCTACTGGAGGTGTGGGGACTGAACCCAGATGCACTGAGTCCCTAAGAGAGATCCACTGATCTCTCTGGCCCCTAAAAGGTGCCCTTTTTGGGGCCACACCCAGCTCTGGGTTACTCCTGGCTCTGCACTCAGGAATTACTCCCAACAATGCACAGGGGACCATATGCTGGATACTGAATCCAGGTCGGCCAAGTAAAAAACCTCCCTGCTGTACTATCGCTCAGCCCCAGGTTGCCTATTTTAAAACAAAACTTTAAATTGTACTGAGGGCTGAAAGGAGGTAAAGTGATATGCATGATATCCTTACAGTATTACAAACCACAGTGCCTAAAAGGGAAACGAGGGTGGAGGGATGGGCAGAGAGAAAGAGGGAGGGGAGGAGAGAGATCTGTCATAGAGTAAACTGTGGGGACAGTGTCGGTGGGAAATGTGCACCGGTGAGGGGATGGGTGTTGGAACACTGTACAACTGAAATTCGATCATGAGCAACTTTGTACCTGTGTTATCTCAGTGATTCAATAATTTTTTTTTTTAATTTGTGTGAAAGACAAATGAA